GTCTCTAATTAGTCTGGAAACGGGGGACCTAATTCTTGCATTCTGTGAAAACGGGTAAGATTGGCTATAATGTAATTATCTTAATCTTCACTATCGTTACTTTTTAAAAGCCCAGCGAAGCGGGTCCTTGTAGCTAGATTCTAGATTACTTAGAAAAACAGTCTTTTATATATATAAAAAAAAAAAAACTATATTACATACAAATGTACGAACAAATAAAAACCCAGCGAAGCGGGTCCTTGCAGCTAGTAATATAATATTATATCTTTGACTTTGTGTAAAAATAGAAATTATATTTCATTATATTTAGTATATACTGTATATAAAGTTATGTAAGATATAATTTTTTTAAAATTATTGTTTGGCATAAGTTGTTAAAATGATTATTAATATTAATAATGATTTCAGAAATAATATATTTATTTTCAGCATTATTAAAACTTTTTAAACGTTGGTTGAAAAGTTATATACAAAGTAAAATATAAATTTTGTAATAATTTTCATCTAAAATAAATTTCTTTTATCTGAGAAAGATTATTAATAAGAAAGTAACAGTATCAGATTTAATTAGATTTTGAATTACAGTACTTGAAATAACTAAAATGTAAGTTTATGTTGATAATTCTCTATTATGTTTTTGTCTTTCGTAAAAAGTTTATTTCATTTTAATGAATATTTTCTTTTCATTTCAATAGATACTTGATTCTCCAAGTATATAGGGTGGGAAAGAAAGTCACTTAACACCCTTGCTACAGAATATAAAATGTATCCAAAAGTTAATACACTCGTGTCAGGAAAACATTAAACCAAGGGGAAAATAGATTGATGCATGTTACATGCATGGCTGCCATCTTGAATGCAGCTCCAAAACTGTAAATGGGAAGGGGGTCATGTAACACATCATTTAAGATCAGAATTTCACAAGGAATTGATTGCTGAAAGATTTTATTGACCTACCTCAAATGGTTACAGAGTTATGCACATTACATGATGTGCTCAATGTATATTCTTTGAATACATTATATATTTTGTAGCAGGGTATTAAGTGACTTTCTTCCCCTTCCATTAAAAACACAACTACTTGCATATATTGATAAACATTTTCAAATTAAAAAAACATGTATCCTCTAATTATCTGAATAACAAAAATTTGACAAGGAAGATAAAGACATTTAAAACAACTAAAACAAGTATATATTAAAATAGTAACTAACATACTAAAAAAATACAATATAACCAAACAAAATAACTTCATTGAGTGACAACTATGTAACAATAAAATAAATTTATTTAATATTTTACAGCTATGAATTTTTAGTTTTTCACAAAATTTATATCTTTATTTTAAGTATTAACAAAAGAAATATGCTCTATAAAATATATAAAAGATAAATTTAAAACAATGGGGTCAGTTGTATATAATTATAATTCTAAAAATGATTTTACAGTAAATCATCGATTATTTGACCCCCGATTAACCATCACATCGGTTAACCGACCGTTCTAGTTGGCAAATTTCAAAGTTCCTCTAGTGATGTGGCACTACAATATTTGACTATGTCTTGGCTACTTTAATATTATTTTTGTTAAATTTTTGTGTGTTTTAGCTGGCAACATGGCTCGACCATTAAAGTATTTAAACGAGACTTAATTTTCTAATTATGAGTGGTTGTTTGTTTTGTGAGCAATAAAATAATTTAAAAATAATTTTTAACAATACGATAGCGACAATTATTATTTTTAAAAAAATTTGTTAGGCTTAACATCGATGAAAATTCAACGCGAAGTAGGTTAGTAGCAATATACTAATTACATGGGATATACTAATATACTATACTAATAACGTATTTTTTTAATTTTTTTCGGTTATCCGATTTTTCAGTTATCCGACCATCCTGAGTCCCCAATTGAGTCGGATAATTGATGCTCTACTGTATTTTTAGAATTATAAATTCTGATAAATATGCTCTATGTGATTTATATGGGGTCGGTTGTATGGGGTGATTTATATGAAGTTAGTTAAAATAAATCTTGTGGCAAGAGAAGGCTATTGCTATTTTCATTTTGTTCCTGTTATCAATGTACTTGTGATAGAAGAAATTTAAAAGGTTTTGTAAAAGAATAATTATAATTTACAGTTTGCTACATTATAACTTATAATGATTTTGTTGTAAAATAATATCTATTATATTTTACTTATTTGATTATCATTTTTTTTTTTTTAATACTTTCTTGGCATACAGTATGGTATTTTGATGACAACATTTGTTCTAATTCTTTCATTCTGTCAAAACAATTAGTAGAATAAATGATTTGGTTTATAATGAACACTGGACTTAACAATGGGCAATAGTTTTAATGAAAATAATGTATCTTTTCTGAAAATAACATCAAATTTTAGAAATTATTTGTGATTCTTTAAATATTTCATATTAATATTCCATGCATCATCAACACAAATATTGAAAATGATTTGTACAATATAAAATCTCTAATATAAGTGTTTGTAAATGATGAATGTTTAAGATTGAACTTGTAGAGATCATTTGGATTAGTTAACTATTATGAATACTGCTTCTTTTTGTGTGTTTTCATATGCATATAATGGAATTATTTCTGGAACTTAATTGCCAAAATTTGTATTTTCTGTTAATTGTAAGCTTATATTAAAAATTGATGACTTAAAATATTTATATCAAGTAATTCTGAATTAAAATTTGTATTCAAATAGTAATGTCATTTAGTTTTGAACATTCTCTGTCAAACTTATTTTATTATATATAAACGATCAGATTTAAACCCTTTAGAAGTTTTTTACTCTTATGTTTTCAAATCAGTAATAGTTTGGTATAATAATTTAAATAGCAAATTAAAAATGTTTTCTAATGTTTCTTCAAATGTTATTAATATATAACAATTTTTTATTAAAGTGTTTTTATAATGTAGATTTGTATATGATAATGTGTATTGATAAAATTTTAGTACATTTAAATTGTTATAAATTTATTTGTAATTAATTGTTTTTTATGAATTAATTTAGTCAAATCTATCGTTAGAGATATTAATATATTTTCTCTAAATGCATTAGATGTATGAACCTTATATTCCATTCTGGAGAAAGAGAGTTCCTTATACCCTGTTTTCAATGTCAATTGTCTTGCTACTGGTAAGTCAATTGTATTTTTATAATTGAAATTTAGTTGTGTGGTTGAAACATTAAACAAACTTTATTTTTGTCTCAGGTTAGTATTGCAGTTGCAGCAGTTGTGGGAGTTATTCTTTATAGATTATCCCTTAGAGCAGCTCTTACTACTATTGGGGGTTCAGAGGATACTGTTACTCAGTTATCTGTTATAATAACTTCTATAACAGCTGCTCTTCTTAATCTTATATGCATCATGATATTCAATTGGGTAAAGTATAATATTTTGAATTTTAATTTAAACAAAATTTAGATTTTGGATAATCATAAACAACTTACTGTTACAGATATATTCAAAAATAGCAACATACTTAACAGAAATTGGTAAGCATTATTTGAAATTTATAATCAGTGAATTTTCAAACTGTTATGAACTTTGTTATTTATTTATTGATTAATTTTTTTTTTATTTTTACTAGAAATGCATAGGACTTTAACTCAGTTTGACAATAGCCTTACATTGAAGATGTTTTTGTTGCAATTTGTGAATTATTATTCATCAATATTTTACATTGCATTTTTTAAAGGAAAGTACGTTACTTACTTATTCTTCATTTAATTTTAAATATTAAAATATTGGGGAATTCAATTTAATATTTACATTTTTTATTTATCTAGATTTGTAGGTCATCCAGGAGATTATGTTTCATTTGTTGGTTATCGTCAAGAAGAAGTAAGTTTATTAAAATTAATTCTTTAAAAATAAAACTTGGTATGATAAAGATATTAAAAATTAATTAATTTTATTTTTTCAGTGTGGTATGGGTGGATGTTTGATGGAATTGGCTATTCAACTAATAATTATAATGGTGGGAAAACAAGCTTTATTTTCTTTTATGGAAATGGCTATACCGTAAGTTTAATATTGTCTACATCTGATATTTAAAAATTATTTTATTATAATAATAATTGAAGTTTTAATTATTTGCTAGTTGGATTTCTTGGCTCTATAAACAATGGCAAATAAGAGGTCGTCATCTCAAACATGTAATTGAAACAATTCATAATAGATGGGAAGAAGATTATACTCTTGTAGAATGGAAGACTGGTGACTTATTTTATGAATATCTTGAAATGGGTAATTTGAAATATTCATGATTTTTTGAGTACATATTTTGTTTAGTTTATTTTCCAATTGTATTGCATTAGATAGATAATACACAAAATGAGTTTCACATCTATTTATAAATTTTATTTGATATTATTTAAACCATTAGTTAATATTATAAAATTAAAACTTTTATTAAATCTTAATCTTTATTTATACCTAAAACCTTAGCTAAAGGCCACCCTCATATATAAGCCAAGGTAATGTAAAAAACTTGTACAGGAATATTGACTTTTTCATGGATAAGATGCTCTTGTATGTAGGACACAGCTTTTAGTCAAGTTTTAGGATACAACCCCAGAATAAAAAACCAATAGGAAAAGAACTACATCACTTCTGAAGCTATTTGGACAACACAATAAGTTTTATGAATAAGTTTATAACCTTGAATAGGCTATGACTTGTAGCCAAGGCTTTACAGTATTTTATTATTAATTTATCTCTATAGATTTTATATATTAAATTATAAACTGAAAAGTTTTTCTAAGTACATAGTATATGATTTATTGCAAAAAAAATGTTATCCTTTGCAGTTTCTTACAAATTATTTTCATTTTCTTCTGAGATATTTTTATTTCACACCAGGAAACATTTGAATTACCTGTATTCATATTTTTAATGAACTTTAGTGTCCTGGATTTTTAAATGTACTATTATTCTTTTACAATATCCAATCACTGGTGGAAATTTTTTGTCTTTTACATAATTTTTCTGAGACCATAGCCTCAAATGAAAGGTCATGCTTCAGTTGTGTTTTAGATGAATTCCTGATGTGACAAAAAGACAAGGGAAGATACCATTTGGATTGTTTAAACTTATATTTTAATATTATTTGTTTATTTCAATATAACAAATTGTAATCAATTTATTAATTTTTCTCTATTCATAGAATATGTAAATGTTATGAAATGCCACATGAATAAAGTTTAAAAACTAAGGAAATCAGGAAAAAATAATTTTATAATAATTTCTATAATTCTAGCAATTTCAGCTTAAAAATTTTTATTTTTTTTTATAATTTCATTAAATACAAAACAATAATTTATGAAATAAAAGCATCATCTGGTGTTCTTGCCACAATCACATAATACATTTTAAGTAAAATTAATAATAAGTTTAACATGGCCAATGGTTATTTATGTTTAATAATAATACAATAAATATAAATACAACTTTTAACAAAGAAAAAATCTTTGCTTCAGTTATTTCCTTCCATTGTTTATTTGTTAAAAGTTGTATTTATATTTATTGTATTATTATTAAACGTAAATAACCGTTGGCCATGTTAAACATATTATTAATTTTACATATATTCTGCAAATATAATTCATAAATGAGAACAACAAATGTTTTAATAGTATTGGGAGTTAGATAGTTCAATAAAATTGACTTAAGTAGTTAAAATTATAATTATTTTTAATTAAAAAAAGCACATTAAGTAAAGAATGGAATAATTTCTTCGAAAAAGTTATTTTAGAGGAAAGGACTATCTTAAAACTCAAAATACAGTACACTATCTTTTATCCATTAGTCCATACTCTGTCACTTGTATTATCTGTCATATTATTTGGTAAAAACAAAAACGTTTTGAACCCAATTGCATTATCAATAGTGTGGGTGTGTCCAGGAAGTAAATATTTGCTTTTTTGCTAACTAAGTTGCTTTTGGCAGCAATTCAGTAGGTAGAAGTATTTGTTTATTTACTTAGATTGATTTCCCATAATTAACAAAATTGTTAAGAGGAATGTTTTGTTTTAGAATTTTCTATTATGTTTGATAACCTAATAAAAACTTAGTCAATAGCCAGTCTGAAGCAGAAAAAGTGCTAAATAATAGCAATTCTTGGTATGAAAAGTGAGAAGAGGCTAAACAAACACAAAATCTATTACTATAAAAAATAAAAAAACTTGTTTCAAAAAAATAAATAAATAAATAACCAAAATTTGATTTTTTTAAAGAATGACTATGTGCATGCATATTTTGTATTAAAATTTTCAGTTTCTTGTAAATGCATGTAAATACTGTATGTATTACTAATAGATAAATCTAACACATACAAACACTAATAAAAATATAGTAATTACTGTAATCATGTCACTCTCAATTCCATTATCCATCAGGTCCCATACTCTGACAGATAAGAGAGTTTACTGTAGTTGGTTATTCTAATACTTATATACTGCAGATAAGACGATAGTTGAATCATAAAAGAAGACCCCCAAAATCCGGTGTCATCTTATAGGACAAATACAAAAAAAAAAAAAATTAGATTGAAATTTATATAAATTAAAACCATTGTAAAAATACGGACGAATTGTAATTATTTACTAGTAGGATTGTTACAATTGGATTGTTAAGGGGGGCGATTCAAAAATGGGCTCGTCCAGAGTTTAAATTAGGAAACACTGTGCTATACAGTATTATTATCCAGATGATGATCGCTGATCTAAACTAAATTCATAGGCCGTTGATAGCTTGGGGTCATCTTATAGCACAGATATTTGCTAAAACTATAAAACTTTGATGAAAATTTATACCTTGTCTTATCTGAAGGTCATCTTATCTGTGGAAATATATAGTACATGCTTACAAAAATAAAACACAAATTAAAATTAAGAAATGTTAAATCATGAAAATAGTTGAATGAAATAAAGATTGTTTGTATAACATGTAATAAGCTATTCAATTTTGAAAAACAAATGCATGAGCAGTTTTTTTTCTTTTCTAAATTTTCAAAGATTTTATGTTTTCAAATTATATGAACTGCAGAACTTATAAAACTTTTTATAGCATTATATGATAAAATTAAGTTTAATTTAGAAAATTAATGGTCCTAATAATCAGATCAATTTTCTTGCAGATGCATTTTGCTTAAAAAATCATAAATTTTTTAAAATAATATTTTAAATTTTAGTATTACAATTTGGATTCATAACAATCTTTGTTGCTGCTTTTCCTCTGGCACCAGTATTTGCATTGGTAAATAATGCATTTGAAGTTCGTCTAGATGCTCGAAAGTTGGTTACATCCTATAGAAGACCAGTGGGACAGAGAGTTCCTGATATTGGTAAATATATTATCATTTAAATTGAACTTAATTATATTATTTTAAAACTTCTATTTCTTTTAGGTATATGGTATCCAATATTAAATGCCATAAGTAGATTTGCCGTCCTTACAAATGTAAGCATAGAAATTTATTTTATTACTTCAGAAATATTTTTTTGCTTATATGATTTTTGTTTTTTAAAGGCTATAATTATTGCTTTTACATCAAATACGGTTCCTCGTCTCATTTATCGTATGACAGAGTCTCCAGATGGAAGCTTACGTGGATTTGTTAATAATTCCCTGTCCTATTTTGATGTTGAAGATTTCCATCCAAATATTAATGTCAAACCTCTAGATTCTAAGATTGAGTTTTGCAGGTAAATCTTTTCTTTTCATTTTTTAATTTAGTAATAATACCAAAATATAATGTGGAAAAAACTTTCATTTTGTTTAGATATCAAGATTTCAGGCATCCACCATGGTCTGAGATAAAGTATCAGCATACAGAAGAATTTTTATTTTTGCTAGTAGCACGATTTGCATTTGTAATAATATTTGTGGTTAGTGAATTTGCAAACACATAAAATAATTTATAATAAATTTTAAATTGAATACTAATTTTTTTTTAATAGATTGTTATCTCCCTCTTGAAATCATTAGTGAGATGGATGATTCCGGATGTACCTAAACGTCTTAAAGAGCAAATCCGTCATGAAACGTTCCTCACTAATGAAATGATGATTGAGCAAGAATTGAGAAGAGCCAGAGGTTTATTACGAAAAAATAAGAATGTGGAAGCTGATCAAAGCAATAATTAGTTGCTCAAAAAATAGTACAATAACATTAAAATCTTGCATATCATTTTTTAATATTTTATATGTATTTTTGTATAAAAATTTAAGGTTAAAAAAAAGGCAAGCTGTGATCTTTTTCCAAGGCTTAGATCTCAAAATTATGTTATTTGTCTGTGATAAACTTAATTTTAATATCTCTCCTGCAAGAAATGCAAAATTTAGCAATAAACGTTATTAAAGTAGGGATTTTAAATACTGTAATAGTTTGTGAATTTTTTCAAACCACTTATTGATTTTGTTTAGAAATCTGCAAGACTTTTTAAAATTCATAATTTTCTGACACACTTCAAATTAGATTCATAAAAGGAATTAAGTATCTTTATTTTATTACATTCCACAAAGAAAAGTGAGAATTTTGAAGTAGTTTGCATAAAACCAATTTCTCTCTATAGGATAAGTATAAATATTAGTTATAAAACCTTTATAAAAATCATATCAAATTCACAATTAAGAATATTGAAATTATCTCAAAATCAAAAATATATTATAATTTGTTTATTATTATTATTATTATTATTTTGAATATATTATATGAATTTTAATACACATGTAGTGTAATATTTAGCATGAAAAGTAAAGAACATAATTGAACTGTCATCATGTGATGCTATGCCACAAAAATCAAAACAAAGTGGCTGCACAGCAAACTACAGCTGCACTATAGTCTGCTAAATTCAAAACTATCCAGTTTAAAAAATAGTTAGTATTTTGATTATTCCAAATTTCTGGAAGCTGGAAAATTGGTCTGGTACTATATTAATAATGCAGTTTTCGTCATATGACACAGTTGTCATGTATGAAATTTAATGACAAATTAAATAAAATTAATTCTAATCTTTAATGCAAAGTTACTTGAATTTATTTTTAAAGCTATAATTGAGTTCTATGGAATAAAGTACCTAAGTGTGCTTAGATACCTTTTTTAGTTAAGTGTTTTTTTTATGCATATTAAATAGTTTTATGTATATGGATATTCCCATTACTATAATAAGCATTTTACTCAAGTATATTTAACATTCATACTTTAAAAGAGCAAGAAAGAATAAGAGCAAGAGTTTTTTTTGAGAATTATTGAAAACATAAAAATTAATTTGGGTATCTTTTTTCATATTCCTCAATTATTGTTTTATATGATTGGATGCAACTTCATTGATAACATGTTATAACAGTATGAATTTAAAAAAGCTGCTAGTAAATTCTAATTTATTAGTTTAATTTTTTCACATAATTTTTTCATTTCATAAGCACTTCAAATTTCTGAATGTAGACAGTTTACCTTACATTGTTTCTAAAATAAAAGCATTTAGCATGAAATTTAAATTTGATAATATAATAGAAGTTCCTTATAGCTCTTATGGAACTAATAGTATCAGATTACTGCATGTTTTTGTATTTTTGCAAAATTTAATAAATTACAGTAGAGCCTCGATTATCCGACTCAATTGGGGACTGGGGTTGTTCAGATAATTGAAAAGTCGGATAACCGAAAAGTATGAAAAAAATCCATTATTAGTGTAGTATATTATTATATCCCATGTAATTAGTATATTAGTATATCGCTATTAACCTACTTTGCATTGAATTTACATCGATCTTAAACCTAACAAAAATTTTTTAAAATAATAATCGTCGCTATTGTATCGTTAAAATTAGAAAATTAAGCCTCGTTTAAATAGCTTCCTTTCATGGTTGAATTAGTGTTGCCAGCTAAAACACGTAAAAATACTATTAAAGTAGCCAAGACATAGCCAAATATTGTAGCACCACATCACTAGGGACGTTTGAAATTTGCCGACTAGGACAGTCGGTTAACCGAGGTGTCGGTTAATCGGGGGTCGGATAATCGAGGCTCTACTGTATATGCAATCTGAACAATAGAATAGACATTGCTGTACATATTTTACCAGTGCATACTGCTGTATGTTCTTCTATTTACACACATTTTAATCAGTGTCTGACTGGTGTGTTAACATTGAAGAAATCTGCAAAAATCTGTAACGAACACATTGCAAATATTGATTCTGTGCAGTAATGTTTTATAAAGATATAATAATTATTTTTCAGATGTACTGTATACATACAGTTCACAAAAGCTTTGCACATGCTGTTTGTAACTATACTGTTCTCACATCGGCTGGTGGGAAAGAAAATGCATAGTAGTATTAGTTTAGCATAATGTGACAATCCCTCACTTCAGATGCATTATAAAGTGAATTTCTTCCCACAAATTTGAGAAAGTTTGTGATGTTTCCTTGTGCCAGGAGCATCTTGTGACTTCCTTGTCTTCAGTTCTTTATAGATTTATAATACCTTTAATGATTTCACCATCAGTCAAAACTTCCACAACAGGTTTGCTTTCATCTACATGTAGCCACTCTTCAATTTCATTTTCTGTAAGATGCATCATTGGATTGTTTTCAGATGGAGTTTGGAAAATCATCTGTAAGTTGCTAGTAGAATTTTTCTTCAACATCAGAAATTTCTTCATGTGAAGATTCCTGTAATGTCTTACCATGGATTCGATATTTGTCTAGTGTCATGGTCAACGCATCCCTAATTAAGAAGGTGTTGTTTGGGATGGCAAAGGTGTGAACTGCATGTGGGTGGTGGCATTAGACGCCGAGTAGAGAACTCTGTTTACAATTAACATCTGTTTATTTGAATACAAAATGCATCTTACATAGGTCTAGGACAGGGCTTCTTAAACTTTTTTTATTTACGACCCCATTTATGATTGTGATTATTGTCGCGACCCAAAAAATATAAAATAAAGATATATACAAATTTGCAAAAACAATAATGGTGTACTACCACAGTTCATTCTTGTGTTACAATGGAAGAGAGACAACTGAATACACTGGAAAGTGACAACACTACACTAGTTCACACTACAGTGTTGTTGAATCGTTGTCTCGCTGCACCAGAAGTGACACAAAGCACAACTCATGAAACCTATGACACAAAGCATGCCATTTTCAAACTCTCACGAATTATTTTTCATATTTTGCATTAAAATCTCACGACCCCAAGATTTCACTAAGCAACCCCAAATGGGGTCGTGACCCATAGTTTAAGAAGCCCTAGTCTAGGAGATCTCCTTTTCTTTAAAACTAATCTGTGATCCAATGACTGACAGGTCAGGATACAATGTTCAGTAAAGTGATCAAGTTCGTAGGGTTTGTTGCTCCTTGTCAGTGGATCAGTGTTCTATGAAGATAGTCCACTGACAGAAGTTTAGGAATTCTGTTCTTGTTTGCATGTATCACTTGGATAAAGTTTGCTGTCTTAACAGTAGCTCTTTTGTCTTGATGGGTCTGCCATTCTGGCCTTGAGTTTGGGCTTCTTAAAGGGTTTGCATTTCTGATCAGACGTTCTGGTTGGTTGGAATCTCCATCTTCCCCCTTTCCAATTGTCCCTAGATTGTTGTTTTGGCCATCCAGGACTAAATTTGGAGATCCAACATCAGCCAGAGATGTTTATTAAATTATTGCAATATCCACTAGTAGTTAAGCATTTTTACTCCAGTTATAAATATTACCAGCCATACTTGCATGACATTTGGTTTCATTAGACATTTTGTATTTGTTGTTGCGATTATAGGAGAAAAGGTCAAATCTCCATTTTCTTCTCACATGAAATGACCTTTCTTGTAAAATTTTTTGACTAAGAAAATTTTTATATGAAACAATTTTTTGATTGAGGTTTCCAGTCCAGTCTTTCCATTGAGGAAACCTCAATCAAGACTCTGGTCCTGGTCAACCTGGTCAAGACCTCTCATTCATTACAGGATAGGCTGTCAAATAATAGGCCAAAGTTTCTGCCATGACTTTTCAGTATGACAGTGCAGCAGTATACACTGCTTCTTTAATGTTGTACACAGATTGAAATTTAATGATATTGCAATTGCAGTTCACCAGCTTTTGAATAAAAGTCCACTGTGGATTGTTTTGAAATTCTGGATCATCCTCTGATCCACTGGTTAGATCAGGCATTAACATATGCTGGGCATTACATTGCAAATGCATTTCTACAAACAAGCACACAAGCAGGGAATGTGCTCAGCAATTCTTGAGTACAAGAATGGCTTTGCCATCTTGGAAAAGTTTCTTTTTTAAAACTCTCTTTGATGGCCGGAACAAACAATTTGTTGCATAAATGCTGGCATCACCTTTAGGCTGATGATTGACATTGATGGCTGGTAGTGTTGGAACTTTGATTTACACACAAGATCTTGCCTAGAAGTCAATCTGTTGATTCTATTTGCCAACTTTGCCAAACAAATGACAGCTGGATAGCAAAGTAAGAATGATGTGAGCAGCACCCAATTACTGGCATTGCTACAGAAAGAAGCTCCTTTTATAGGCACGGCTGTGCAGACATACTAAAAATTGAATGTGTGCAAATGTGTGGGTGATGCTTTCAATTCCAATCCAGAAAGATGCTTGCATCTTTCTGGATTGGAATTGAAAGCATTGTATGGCATTTGGCATCTGAATTGTATGGCAATTGTGGCATAAACACGTATTGGGCATAGTGCAGCCCAATGGAAAGCAAAAACAGCAGTGGAAAGCCTTCGATCTGACATAAACACGTAACAAAATGTTGTTTTTCTCAATCAAGTTGCTCTATCCAGGGTCTTCAGTGTACCATGTGTCCAAACAAATAATGATTTGCAAAATACTAGAATGCTGGATTATTTATCATCAGAGAATTTTGAATCATCAGCCATTTCTTATGAGGAAGGCACTCGGAGGGAATGTGATGTCATCAAATGAGGAAATTGTTTTCATAAAGGTGTTCAAGACAAAAACAGGGTGCAGTCTAATACCATGTAATTATTTCATTCTAATTTAGAAATTGAATAAATAAAAGTTTTAATTTAAATTTTTGTTATATAATAATCCCTACAATATATTGGCTTGTGCTGAAAGCCTGAAACTAATATATTTTATTATGCACATGTATAAAAAAACCAATTTTTTAGAAACTGAAAACATTAAAAGAAGAATCTTTAAAGAGTCTACCAAACTATATTCCTTAAAATAATGTGTCTATTGATCATATTACCATGTCATAAGGTGCTTTATCTACATGGACAAACTATCAATTCATATGCATGAAACAGCTTTTCCATTTTGGAAGAAAAAATTTTAAAATTCTGTGAATCAGTTTTTATGCCTTTTATGGAGTTGATCTAGTCCACTGCATAATTGAATAGTGGGAAGTAGCTAAACCTGCTTTGATCAAACCAATTCAACTTTAAGGAACTACAGATGGTGCTACCAAAACAAAAATGGCAGACATGATCATTTTAGCACTTGTGTTAATAGTTTAGAGTTGTCTTTAAAATTATAAAAAACAAATGCCTTAAATATTGGTTTCACTTATATTTTCCTTTGTATAAGTGAAGGCACGCACCCATTAATGGAAGGCAAGGCTGCATTTAGTGCATATCATGTTATTTTGTGTGGGATGCAAGATGAAAATAAAATTTACAATCATTAAAGTTTCTGACAAACTCCATAAAATGAAAGTTTTCCTCAATCAAGATAAATGGATATATAGATAAATAATGCAATATATAAGTTAGATATTATTGTACAGTACATACATTTTTTAAATTTCATTTATTTTAGATTACACTATAAGGATTAACAAGGATACTCTGTTCCACCATCAATTTGATGAATTTTGGCACAAAGGTAGTGTTTGATATGATAATGCAATCATCCAAATTGTTTCATTCTACGGACCATAATGTGCAAGTTATGACTAATTAAATGCAGAATTACTTTCTATGGCTGATGAGTAATACAGTAGTTGGCCCTAATCTGAGAAGACTATAACCACATCATCTGAATTTAGTTTTGATAAGTTTTTGTTTAAACCTATAGTTTTGTCAGAAGTTTGGCAACCATATACTTTGTTTAAATAGGTTATTAACCCTGGCAGAGCTTCACCTGTTAAAAATTTGCAGGCATATTTACAATTCTTTTGCATTCTCATTATTGTCATAATCAAAATAACTTAAACCACACAAACAAAAGTGATTCAAATGACTCCCGTGTTATTTTCCCAAATAACCACATGGTATCACCACTGGGATTTTCATTGTCAAATTGCAAAAATTCCTCATATCCAATGTGAATCCTCCAAAGCTACAGATTAATATATAATTTCCAATCTGAAATATAGGTACAGTATTAGCTTTTTCTAGGGCATGATTGTTATAATCACAGAAAATTGGGAAATATTACACAAATTTGAATCAAAATTGATAAAGCTCTCAAGCCAAATCCCTTTTACATTGATACTATTTTAAATCAATTATTTACTTCAGAATAGATCAAAATTAATCTTCGTCAAAAATTGAAAATAGCTTCATGCTTAGAATGTATTCTTATTTTTGATAGTTACAATATATATAATTTGGGTACATGCAATAAAACTTAGAGAAGTTTTTCCTGCCCTTTGGAGCTTAGAGTTAGTGTTACAGATCAATAAAGTAAAAAAAAGCAGAATCTGAATATTTTTGTATTTTTACCTCTCTTCTATAAAGAAAGAATCTTTGAACAGGCTGTTTAAAACAAAAACTAAAAAAAAAAATGCATTCAATGTAACTAATGGAAGTAAACAGTTTCGCAGGTAGAATTTGAGGTAAAACAAGAAGTCCTCTTGCTTTGGTATGGAATATTAGTTGTATCTACTGTCTGTCTGAAAATTACATGGAAATCCAATAATCAGGATCACTTTGGATGGAATAAATATTAAAATTCAAGTCAGGGAAATTGAAAGTAACATAAATCGGTGTTGGGGCACCATGAGAATTTGAGATGTTAAATTCCTATTCTATTCCATTCCATTGAGACCTATCAAGTGTTTCATTCTGTTCAAGTTAGGAGTTTTACTGTATACTGTATATATAAACAATATTTCAACAAAGATTTATATGAGTATTTTATTTGTCTCAAAAATTATGCATGGTATAAACATGTATCAAGCTACATAATCACTAAATGTAATTGTGGTGGGCTATTCACAGGCCCTATGAAAAATAACAGCACTGTTTAAATTACAAAATCATAAAGCATACAAAACATTATTTTGATGGTGTACAACTTTACCTTTCAGTGTTTTAGCTGGACACTTCTTTGCAATTTAAATTATGCAGTTATCTTTTCTTAAGATTTGAGAAAGGAAACAATGCCATGCACCCCCAATCCCCTATGCTCCATGCAAAGATGAATAGGGTCACAGGGGCACCCAAACCTAGAAATAGCCTGTGTTTGTCTAAACCCTGTTTTGTAGTAGTAAATTGTACTTAGCGCGTTTATAATTAGTAATGTGAATGTGTGTTTTACTTTCAAAACTCTTCCTTATTAATAATTAAAAACTTGAAACAATATTTTAATATTACAAAATTGCTGTTTGTTCATTATAGTTGCAAAATGAGAAAAATGAATTTAATCAAATTATGAGAGATAAATATAGAGACAATATTTCTTAAAATACGAGCAGAAACATTTAAAAATTTATTATTTATAACTTAAAAAACAATTTTTTCTTCTTACAATAGAAATTAGCAGAATGTTAAGTTTCAAAATCAAATGGTTTATTAAAAAAAATAAGTCATATTTATTTATTACACTTTATTATTCGTCGGTGTGCATCTCGTCGTCTGCCGGTTCGGCCGCACTTTCAGTCGCTTCGGGTTGTCTTTCTTCTTCCATTGCGACTGGTGCTTCTGGCTGAGGTTGACGAGTACGTTCTTCACCTGCAATGCTTGATAACTTGTTTACATTAAGAAAAATCTATAGTAATAGTAGTAGTTTCCAATATTATCATAATTAGAGTTTAGATTGTTTTTAGAAAAACTATATACAACAACTGAAAAATTACTATTTTTGAATTACCTATATACTCATAACTGATCAATTCATACTAAAAGGGTTGAGTGTAACATATAGATTACATCCAATTCTTTATACAATACAAAAATTTTATAATTTTTTTTAAATATATATAATTAAGCATAAAAAGCCATAAAATTTAAAATTTATTTTTGATTCTGGAAAGCTAAATTACAAAATAAATTCAAAAATATAAATTATTAAACATTTATAATCTGTAAATTTGCTATTTTAAACTTTTTTCTAAGAAATTACAGCAACCAAGTAAGTAAAATCATTCTATAAAACCATTCTATAATGTAAATGCAAAATTAATTAAAAGACAAGATGTGAAGGCTTTTATTATTATTCTATATTGTGAATATTTATAGATTATTAATTAATAAAGTGAATTATTTTATCATTTCAATGTGGATGAAAAGAAGATAGGATAGTCTCAAAAACATTTTCAGTATAAATTTTGCAACTTTTATAGTAATGTAATTAACAACAAAAGAGTATTTATTCTTTAGATCGCTTAATCTCACTTAGAAAGCTCTTGTTTTATTATGTATATTTTAAAAATATAAAATAATGTTGGATAAAATATTTTCTAAAGGATACATAAGGACCGACTTCTTCATCTTCATAAATTTGAAAATCCATTCCTTTTCCAACAACGGCAATGGACACGTTTTTGGTAGAAAGATCAACTTCATTTGGGAGGCATTCTCGTAATGCTCTCAAACCGTGTTTAATTAATTCTTCTAAACTACCTGCAAATTATAAAACAGAAGTTAAATTGTGGCATTCATTTTTTAAATACCACAAGAAGCAAAATCTTTAGGAATAAATGATAATTTTATAATATATCTTTAGAAAATCACAAGATATAAAAATTTGCTCAACTTATCCAAAGACACTTTTTTAATATAAAATTATACATACTATGAATATCTATTTTGAAATTATTGTAAAGCAAATAAGTTCTGGGATAATAGCAGGGTTGTGGCCAACATTTTCAACACAAAAACGCGAACATCCGACATTCATGTTTTTGTGTTGAAAACTTTGGCCACATTCTCACTAATATTCCTTAAAAGTGCCCTTATTTTTGATTTTTCAAGTGCCATATTTGATATTTCATTGAATACTCTCTCCACATATTTGAAAAACAAGGAAAAGATTTTGGAAAGCTTCAAAGGATAAAAGAATCAGACAGAACAGAAAAGCAAGTGTAACAGAGCATCCAGATGCTGAAAAATTTATACTGTACAAATCATTTCGGTGCCAGACAAGAATATTACTGTCAATGGAAAACTTCTTAGAGAAAAAGCATAACAAGCTTGATTCAAAGCAAGCAGTGAGTGGCTGAATTTATAAATTTAAGAGGAGGCACAAAATAGTTTTAAAAAAAATGTGTGGTGAAATTACATTAGTGTAAGAGGAGGGTTGTGCAAAGTGGTTGAAAGTTTATCAAAAATTGTACAGAACAATATTCTGGATAAAATTTTAAATGCAGACACTAAAAAATAAGCCTAACAAAACAATAGTGTTCAGAGGTAATTAATATCATGAGATTAAAATAAAATTGTGTGTATGCCATACATATATGCCCAGTGCCATAACTAGCCATTCCTGTGCCCTCTGCAAGAATTTGCATTTAGGCCCCTTAATTAATCAGGTTTGAGAAAATAATAAAACAAATACAAATCCTTGAAATATTGCAGTCAAATAATCTTAATATTATTATTTGCATTCTTACTTGTTTTCACAAACACATATACATGAAAACACAAGTATGGTAACAGGGCCATGCCATGATACAGAGAGATGGCTGCATCAGGCAACACCCGCAAGGGAGTGTAGCATAAGCAGCATTTAAAGGGTGCCATTTTGAAGACTTGCATCATACTGAAAAAATCTACCATACAGTCCTGTATGGTGGCTACGTTGCTGTATTCACACTGTAACCTAACTAAGTTAGGCAAGTTAACATAGGCACATTGAAAAATTTTAAATTTAAAAATATAATTTATTGTGAACAGCATTTTGGGCTTCCCTTCCAAGTGGGCCCTGTGTGGGTACACCTGTTGCACCTGCCTGTTACGGCACTGTATATGCCTATATCTTGTGCTTTAAACATAAAAAACACATCCTTTTAGTAAAAACCTGAAAATATGACAGAAACCCAATATAATTAAATGGCATTAAATTCAGATACATAAATACCTTTTGCTACTGATGAAGGGTTAATTAATAATATAATAACAACAAAAACTATTTTATTAACAAATTAATACAGTAGATCCCCTATAACACGGGTTCATATAATATGGATTCGTATAACATGGCAAAAAAATTGCGATTGTGTTCGTATAAACACACTAAAAGAGACTTGTATAATACAGTAAAACGTCATCGCCCAACTCATGTTGCAACAGGATTGGTCGAATCTAGACCAATAGCAGATATTGTACAAACCGTTGAGTTTAAATGAGCAGCAGACTTACTAAAAACCATTTATTATTTAATGGCCATAAAAATTATATTTATATTAATGATGTCTCCAAAGTTCAGTGAATTTTTCGCAGAAAAATAACTCATCAGGAAACACGTGCCCACCGTTCAATGCACCGCTCCGCGACGAAAACAAGCTTAAGCAATGGTGTCATCGAACAGTGCACACTTGGTAAGTAATCCTACAGTTTTTTGTTTATAGCATAGTTTATATGGATTATTCCCAAAAAATTATACGTGTTTTGGAAATGTTGAGTCAAAATAGTCTAGAATCAATTAATTTTATGGAAGAAAACAGCCATAGTCCATAAACTGCACACGTGCCAGGCTGTGATTGGCTCGTGTATTTAAGTGACTCGTAAAACACGGAATTCATATAAAACAGAACATATCTACCATGTTATAGGGGGGTTTACTGTATTTAACAGAAAATAAAAAAAACTATTATATGTTATGAGTATATAATTTTTGAAGTAATAGTTTTAAGTTTACTTGTTTTAAAGGAATCAAGATGTCTTTCTAAATAAGTACGAGCAGACTGAGAACGAGCTCCTATAGCCATTGCTTTACAGTCAAAATAATTAGCAGATGGACAAGTATGATATACATGAGGACCCATTTCCTAAATTAAACATAAAACTTTTTAATTGAATTACTTGATATTTTTATTATTTATAAGTATGTAACTTACATCATAACCAGCAACAAGTAAGCCAACTCCAAATGGCCTACGATCATAACGTTGTGTTGATATCTGCATTTCTGATTACAGTAAAGGTATCAAAAGGATTATCATGTAAAAAAATTCAATGAATAAAAAAATAAACAAAATGACCCTTCAAATGATATTTATTAGCTGTCAGATTAGTATGACTAAAAATTTATAGAATAAAATCTTTATTTTATTATTATTATACAGTAGACCCCCCTATAACACAGGTTCATATAATATGGATTCGTATAACACANATTTTTGAAACAAATTTACTTTTGAATTGAAATTTTTTAAATTAAGAGTTTCTTAATTCTGCCAATGGAACCAATGATGTAAAATCTTGATTTAATTCTAAATCAACTTAACTCAAGACATAAAACTTTAAGATTGTCTTTAATGTATAGACAGATATCAATATTTAATAAATTCTGACAATCTGAAACTAAAATTTGTTAAGGAATATTCTTTGTTTGCCATATCACTGGTTCAAGTGCTGCTTTAGTTCTAGACATTGGTTATTGTTTTTAATATGAATATTGTTGTTTGGAGGAAAGCATTTGGACAGCAATTTTTAACAGTATTCTAAATTAAAATAATTATAATACCATATATTTAAGTTTCTTATATTATAAGAAATATTTAATATAAGAAACTTAAATATATGGTATTATATTTTTGTTATTATATTTTGTTTTTATTATATGTTTTAATGACTATTCAATTTTTAATTATTCTAATTGAAACAATTGATCTATTTTATTATTTTTCTAGTTCAGAAGATTGATGCAAATTTAGATGATGATGTATTGTAAATTGAAACTTACTTTTAATGCAACTAAAACAGCATGGGTGTTATTTTTTAATGCTACAGTAGCTGATCCTTGTTTCACTGCTTCCATAGCATATTCAACTTGATGAAGACGTCCCTGAGGACTCCACACAGTAACATCATTATCATACTGATTACGAAACTGTAAAATTATAAAAATCAAATTATCATAATTGTTTAAATATTTAAAAAGTATTAAAAATATAAATCCAAATACTAAATGTTGAACTAATTTCAGGCTAAAATATGGCTAACTGTTAATTATCAATCTAACACAATATGATCTAGAGGTCAGCAGTTAGATCAAATTAATTTAGTCTAATGGTAGATGATCTAAGTGTTCGATTAGTGCTTGTTGTTTATATATAAAAAGCTATAAATGCAAAGTAGAATAGAAAATATTTATTTTTCTATTACAAATATTGTGTTATTACTTTATGTAAAAATATTTTATCAGTCAGGAAGTTTCCTTTTTATATATATGTCAACTACAAAGAGAATAATTCCAGCTCCAGCAATAGCCTACAAAGACAAGGTCTGTTATGAAATATTATTTCATCAACTAAAGAACTATATCATCATTATAATCTTATTTTTATAGTACTATGCCAGAAACCTTTGCGGGAGTATATTAAACAACTTCCCAAAGTTTCATGGCAATTGGATAAACAGTGTGGTAATGCATGAAGGACAGACACACACACACAAATTCATTTTTATATATATAGATTATTATCTAAAAACAATAAATTGAATCTAACATTTCTTACTTAATAATAAATTAAAAACTTTACATGCAAACTGGGCAAGAGTTTAATATAATTTGCCTGTAATTTTTATTTATTATTGATATTTCAAATATTTGATGTTAATTTTACTTGTAAAAAGTGTGAAATGGCATATTAATAATAATGAAATTTGCTAATGAATTGTGACAACTTTTTTTTATCATTAACAAAATTAAATCCTTTGTGTCTTTTAAGCTAAAAATTAAGTAGAGGTTATACTTATTTTTAAAGAAAAGAAATTTTACCTAATATTTCACATTTAATAAATGATAACTGATGCAATTTTATAAAAGGATACTATTTCCTAATCTTGATACAAGCCTATTAATTGGAAGTGGAATATCATGACTTAGGCGATTATTAAGACATTCCATACGCATGAACTTGCTGCAATAGAAAATGAATTAAAACCTTGATATAGATTAAATAGTTCATTTTAAATACTAAAAATACCTTAATATTCTTGCATCAGCAGTGAGGCCTGCGATAGATACACCAACATGAGTGTCAATAGAAATAATTTTCTTTTGATGTGCTGATAGTTCTGATGTTGCTCTCTAAAGGAATAAACATGATTTAATCAAATATCAAATACTGAATACTTTTTTATAATCAAAAATATATGGTAATAAGTTTTATTTCAAATGATATTTAAAAATAATTCAAATATTGCATTTTTACTGTTTGCTTTAATGTAATTAAACTTTGTACTTTAATTAAGTTAAAGATTTAAGAGTTAATGATTGAATGTAATTATGCTATTAATTCTTAAATCTAGAATTCAATTTAAAAAATCCTTTTTTTATCAACAGAAAATTAAGCAAATTTAAGGATAATCTAATTTAAATTTTCAAACATGGTTGCTTTTATTTTGCTTTGAGTTTAACATATGTTTTAAATCTCATTACAGCTTATGAAATTATTTAAAAAATAAATCTGAAATAAAAGATAATATTTAATTCTTGAATTTATAATTGTACTTGTTAAAATTAATTCAATTGAAATGTTAGATATGACACATTTTTGGAATTAATTAATATTCAAAAGAAATTATGCATTATTATATTCATTACATTAATATTAAATTCGTTTTTTTTATTCAATTATATTAATTAAATTTAATGCAGTGAATTTTATATGTATGATATAAATTGTAATCAATCATATTAAGCAGATAAAAATATTCATTTATTATCAAACCAGAACTGACATTTATATTTTTACATATTTTGAGCAGTTGTAAATCAATGTTTTTCTTAATGAAGCAATTATTTTTTAGATTCTAATAGATTCTAATTGTAATAAATGTGACTAGAATAATTTATATAATAACTGTTCCATTATATTTTTGAAACAAATTTACTTTTGAATTGAAATTTTTTAAATTAAGAGTTTCTTAATTCTGCCAATGGAACCAATGATGTAAAATCTTGATTTAATTCTAAATCAACTTAACTCAAGACATAAAACTTTAAGATTGTCTTTAATGTATAGACAGATATCAATATTTAATAAATTCTGACAATCTGAAACTAAAATTTGTTAAGGAATATTCTTTGTTTGCCATATCACTGGTTCAAGTGCTGCTTTAGTTCTAGACATTGGTTATTGTTTTTAATATGAATATTGTTGTTTGGAGGAAAGCATTTGGACAGCAATTTTTAACAGTATTCTAAATTAAAATAATTATAATACCATATATTTAAGTTTCTTATATTATAAGAAATATTTAATATAAGAAACTTAAATATATGGTATTATATTTTTGTTATTATATTTTGTTTTTATTATATGTTTTAATGACTATTCAATTTTTAATTATTCTAATTGAAACAATTGATCTATTTTATTATTTTTCTAGTTCAGAAGATTGATGCAAATTTAGATGATGATGTATTGTAAATTGAAACTTACTTTTAATGCAACTAAAACAGCATGGGTGTTATTTTTTAATGCTACAGTAGCTGATCCTTGTTTCACTGCTTCCATAGCATATTCAACTTGATGAAGACGTCCCTGAGGACTCCACACAGTAACATCATTATCATACTGATTACGAAACTGTAAAATTATAAAAATCAAATTATCATAATTGTTTAAATATTTAAAAAGTATTAAAAATATAAATCCAAATACTAAATGTTGAACTAATTTCAGGCTAAAATATGGCTAACTGTTAATTATCAATCTAACACAATATGATCTAGAGGTCAGCAGTTAGATCAAATTAATTTAGTCTAATGGTAGATGATCTAAGTGTTCGATTAGTGCTTGTTGTTTATATATAAAAAGCTATAAATGCAAAGTAGAATAGAAAATATTTATTTTTCTATTACAAATATTGTGTTATTACTTTATGTAAAAATATTTTATCAGTCAGGAAGTTTCCTTTTTATATATATGTCAACTACAAAGAGAATAATTCCAGCTCCAGCAATAGCCTACAAAGACAAGGTCTGTTATGAAATATTATTTCATCAACTAAAGAACTATATCATCATTATAATCTTATTTTTATAGTTAATTGAAATTTTTTAACTGAAAATTTTACAAGCTTTACAATATTTGTAATTTTTTTTATTATTATACAAAATTATATTTATGCATTTTATCATATTTTTTTTAATTTGACAAATAAGGGAATAGAATAATTCATGTTACTTATGGCAGTAGTATATATACTACTGCCATAAGTAACACAAATTATTCTATTCCCTTGTCTGTCTGTTAGATTGCTAGTAATGTGTGTTTATAAACAAATTCAATCTTAAAATGTGTAAGATGTGTTAAAATGTTATTATGATATATATTTTTATTTTATTCATATTTATACAATGTACAATGAGTAATTTATACTCATTGACTCATTGTTCTCAAAATTTATGGAAAACAATTATGATTAATCATATGATGAAACAGAAAATGTATTAAATTAATATGAGCATTAAAATTTCATTTACGTCTTTACAAAATTTTTTAAAATAGTATAATATACTGAAACATTAGGATTTTTTCAAATGACCAATCAAATGTTTTATGCACATACTAAGTGGAAACAGGATCCGGCTTTATATTTTGACAATATTCATAAAAATGGATTTCTGAAATATAAAAATGTTATAAAAAATCAAAATTTATTTTGAATACAAAACAAATTTATGCTTATTCTGTTATAACAATGTTGTATTCAAAAATAATCATGTAAAGTTTATCCTCTAGTTACCATTATGGAGCTGTTCATAAACTATCTAATCCGGATGTGGATGGGTAATATGCATATAATCATTATGACGACATACAAGGGATTTGTACAAAAACATTATGTAATGGGTTTAACAATCATCTAGTGCTTTAACACTTCTTCCAGCAATTATTTTCTTAAAAATATGAATGTTTTCGGCCTCTTCAGTGGCCCTCCTCAGGCATACAAGCAGAGAAAAAAAATTTGAACAAGCTTCTGAAAGTTTGATGAAAATTTTAATGCAGCTAGTAACATTGAGTGTAAGTCAAAGAGGCCAAAATCGTTTGTATTTTTAAGAAAATAATTGCTGGAAGAAGCGTTAAAGCACTAAGTAATTACAGTATTAGTTATCTTGTTTCCAGCTTCTGTACAAGTTTTGATGTAAATGGTTCTTTAAGTCAAATAGAATTATTTGTTAAATGTGTAGGAATTAAGCAGTTTACTTCTCAGATTTGGCATACTTTTTTTTTTATTTCTTAGTAGAATTAAAGGGGTCGATTAAGGTTACGCATTACAAAACTTTGGGGCAGGTACATGTGACAGCATTACAGGGTGCCATTACATCTCAACAAGATGGTCAAGATCTTATCAGAGCTGTAGACCCATACTCATACGAGCAAAAAAAAGTCAAAGAAACCATACCGCTACACACAACTCTTTACGAGAAACACCCCCCCAAAATCAGTCTACTTCCAGGCCAATAAATTCCCCAATTTATAGGCCTGAAAGTAGGCCAATGGGGATGGCAAATCCTTCATTCAGAGTTCACATCTTACTCATTACAGTGCATTACAGAAGAACATGATGATACCGTAGCCAAAAAATATAATAATTTTATGTAACTTACGGAGAATACCTCTAAAAAAATAAGCCATTACTATTCATTTTATTTTTCAAATTCACTGAAGGAGCAAGCAGGAAAATGTATCGCAGCAAGTTAATGACAAGATTTCATATATTATCCTTTTGGCATATATTTTACTGTCATTTTGAACCTGAAAGTGAGAAAATGTGTATAAAAAATATTTAAATAAATTTGTAACAACACTAAAAAGACCAAAACGTTCTTTTTCTTAAAGGAAAAATTACATAAAAGCAATTATATTGTCAAAATATTTTAAAAATTAACTAAAATTTGAATTTCCACGTGTCATTTGAACATCAAATAATAATTTAATTAATAAATGAATAAAATCAAGATTATTTTCTAATGATTAAGCAGCATCTTCATCTTCTGCTAGATTTTAAATTTTTAACGAATAGAAATTAAATGGGTGGCTTATTGTGAAGTATTGTTTTCCATTTTGAATTTATATTTGTCTAAGAATTATTAAAACAATAATAAACTTTAAAACAAACCATTTTCAAACTCCTGTTCGTCTTCGTAAATGATGCTGATTCACGAGCGTTTTCGATCGTTTGGGGCGCTTCTGGTTGATGCCGAATTGCATCGTAAAATAACCAAATTCGAGAAATTTTAAATAATTCTCTTTTAATAATTTAAATATTTTATTAATTACTATATATATATAATTTAAAATATTTTGTATAAAATTCTTACATTAGTGTTGTATTAATAAGTTTTATTTATTTATTTTACTCTTCCCATTTGTGGGCATTAAGAGGAATTTTTCCATATAATTGTAAGCTCCTTGCCTTTAATGAATTAAATAATTATCTGTCTATCAATTGGTTGAGATAAATGAGGCTTATCAAACTATTGGAGAGAGAAAATCGGCATCACATCAAGAAAAACACTAATTTTATTCGTGGGATGCATTTCAGTCTCCACTAGAAGTGGCTTTTTTTTATAATCTTTCCTCCCTGTGAGTATTAAGAGAGCCTCGATTAACAAGCCCATTATGGTTCGGCAAGACACACAATGGGGCGGCAGGGTGGTAAGGACAGAGGCCGACATATCCGGTCGGACCACCCCCGAAAAATTCTTGCCTCCAGTGCGCTAAACTGCTATTTAACTCCTAGTGGCTAAAAAGAGTCTAGTGAAGACCGAAATGCATCTCGAGAAATAAAATTAATCTTTTATGACTCGATTTTCTCATCCTCCAATACAGTTTGATAAGATTTGTATATTTCCGTCAATTGGTAGTTTAAGATAATTACCGTTTTATTCGCATATAAGACGAGGTTTTTATTCATTTTTCATTGTTTCAAAATCAGTGCCGTGCTGTCATTGGAAGCGGTAGATGCGCCGCTTCCCTTGTATTTTCTAAAAAATAAATAGAGTACATATTAATTTTAATTATATGAAAATAATCGCACAATATTTTATTATAACCGCATTATGTGTCTTATTACAAATTTCTATACTACACGTGAAAAAAAAATAAGATTGCTATTGTATATTCGAATATTAGTGGCGGAGTGGAAGCGCTGTATTGTCAGCTTCCAAAAAACCAGATTCGCGCACGCGCTTTACAGAGCACCAACCTCACCCGGTTTAGTAGGTGGAAGCCTAGGACCTTGTGTGGATGCTACACGTATACCGCATTCAATTCTATCCAGGACCGGTTCCGGGCCATTAGCCGCCCGCTCGCTAGATATTTGGCCGCCCTCTCCCGATTACGTGAATCACGAGTAGATTTATAACTTAACCCAACCGATAAGAATTTACTAGTATGTTTTTACGATAGTTCTGTATAGTTGACAGTTTTAAAAAATCCATTAAAATATTTGATATATTTATTCCGCTCTCCGATTTTATATTACTCACGGATTTCAATGTTAAACCAGTGATATTACGATTTCGTATATCCAATCTTTAATGGGACGTAGAAAAAAACGTGTACAATTCTTGTATAATGTTAAAAAATTAACTGTTACTTCGACAGCATCATTTACAACTAAATTTAATGAATGAGAGAGATGCACCAGGTACAGAAAAAGCTCTAGAATTTATTTTCCTTACATTTACGATTTATGTACTGTATTCGTTTGTCATAAAAATGTGTCTTTCCACTTTTTTCCCAAGACTACAAATATTCGCGTACAAAGTAACTGGTTTCGACTTATTTCTACTTAAGAAATAATTAAATAATTAAGCGCTTAGGGAATTGGGGACATAAACAAAACCCTGATGAAAGAGCCGAAATTTTACTTAAACAACAGCTTAACCAAACCATCTCTAGCCGAGTATAGTGAAGATTGATTTCTTCTAGTGATGTAACGAATATTCGGTTACTATTCGGTATTCGGCCTATTCGGCCTATTTTTCGCTATTCGGCCGAATACCGAATATTTAATCACTATTCGGCCGAATACCGAATATTTAATCACTATTCGGCCGAATACCGAATACCTAAAAACAGGAGTAAGAAATAACAAAAACACAGTAAATTAATCATTTTGGTATTAGACTTAATGTTGTTGGGTTAGTTTTGTTTGTTTATATTCATTTATAACTTATAACATGCACAAAATAAAAAAAATAATAATATTAGTCACAAGTATTCACAATTTATAATTACAAATATCAGCACCACACACCTATTCGTTTGAGAATCGTCGCACACATGTGAGGGTCTGACCCTGCCTATCCTTTCTAAGCGTTGTCTTTGCTCTTTCCTTTCTCTTTCCTCCATCTCTCTAGTCCACGTATGCCTATGCATACATCATAATACGCGCTCACGATACTTTCGATTCGTCACTTTTCCGTCGTAGTTTTTCCATTTTATAATTACGTGACTCATAGCCTGGTGATAACGGAGAAAAGAGACAGATAGAACGTCGGTATATGTCACAGTTATGATTTCACAGATTCGAGACAGCTTGGTAGCCCGAACGATCCCAGGCATTCACCCGTGCATGCTAAGTGACTTTCATTACAAGCATTTAGCTTTCCGAAGTCTATGACAGCAATTGTTTCGCATTGACGGCCCAAAATTTCGCGCCAATAAGCTGCTTCGACTTGTTCGATTATGTTATCAACTCAATTTCATATTTATTTTCACATTTTCACTTCGCGGTCCTTCTCTGTTCTTTTTCCGTTATTTACACGTGTAGGTCATTTCATTGTTATTCACATTTGATATCATCATTTATCGCATACTGCCATGACGCTCTTGTCTGTCCGCTACAACTGTCAAGAATTAACGCGATTGGCGAAGCGTAGTGACAGCGGGCCAATAGAGAGCAGGGTCCTTGCCATAATGAGGTTTGCGCGCCAATTTTCGTACGTGCGTTAATCAAGCCGAATAGTTTGGCCGAATATTCGGATATTCGGCCACGCTCCTGGCCGAATATTCGGTATTCGGCCTGAGGTCGAATATACTATTCGTTGCAATACTAATTTCTTTGTATTATTAATGTAATAAAGACAGAAATTTTTCCAGTTCAATGAGAGTGACCGAAAAGTTGTAAATTTTAGAAATTTCTGAGGACGCTTGGTCCTAAAACGAATTAGTTAGAAAACAAATGACTATTAAATTTAATATATTTAGATTTTTACATATGGTGAGAAACGTTTAAAATCTACAACAGCCCTGTCACGTTCTTTGAGATATACTAGTGATGCAACAAAAGAGGTATTTGACATTGACCGGTATCGGCACCCTGGGGATTTGGCAGTCCACGTGTATGCATGCTCTGCAACCGTCTTCGATTCCATCCATTAGGCTAGCCACTCGTAGGGAGCTATTTGATTAAGTGCATTGTTTTAAGATTTAAAAAGTAAAGAATATTTAATGTTATTTTTATGTACGTTTCTTTACAAAGCTATATTTAATTATAATTTTCTTTAAAAGTATATTCGTACAATTGAAGAATATTTTGTACCAGGTATGTACCGGTACATCCACCACACATTTTATTTCACCAAGTAAGTTTTTATTATTTTATTTTTAATTGTAGCCCATTATACCTCTAGCGATTCGGAATGTAATTGTGAAAGTCTACGGTTTTTACTGGCTTATCGAATAAACGATACGAATGGACCCTAGACCATCACTGACGCGCAACTGACTGATTGCCCCTGGATGTCGGCTTCTTACAGAAACACAGCTTCCCTATCATCAAATGTCACGGCACGCCACTGTTCAAAATCCTAGATCGTCCTATACGCGCGACCGAAGGAATCTTCGCGTTTTTGCAACCGTTTTTGCAATGTGAACCGTGTATTCGCATTTTTTATTGGATGCGTAGCCATTACTATCTTTACGTTCCTTGTGAATTTAACCACTGAGTACTAGTAGTTGGTTGCGGGTTTGTGCCTCATCAACAACATCTAAACAGGAGCTCGTTTCTTATAAAAAGTCCTCCAGGAAGCATCCCTCTGTTGGCAGATCGCTCTTGTATTGAGTTTCCTTATTTTATTAATATAATCTAATAAATTGTGAATCTGTCCGAACCTAAGATGAGCAAAAGAGAACGGTTCTGTTAATTCTCACAAAATAAAACAAAGCTATTCTTGACAATTTTTGTTAGTTTTCCACTTATCATGAATTACATTTTTGAAGTTGTTTAATTAAAGAAAGTAAAAAGTAATGTTATTGATTTTTCGAAATAAAATTTTAAGTCAACATAATGGGATAAATTTGTTCAATCTTCGTTCAAGTAGATTCAATAATTTCACTGTGATTTGTTTAATATTACATTATTGAAATACTGAATTCTGAGAAAGCAACATAGACAAAACCCTTTACAAAATATTAATATTAACGTGGAAGTAATATGTTATGGCGTATTTATAGTGGCATGTTATCCTAAGAGTAATTCACTACCATGTGCAAAAGTCGGGACCCAATTGTGGAGTTCTCAAAAAAGTACGACTCTACTATCCCTGCCATTGTGATTTTTTCCACATAAATGTTAGCATTTTTTTTAAAAGCAATGTATATTTATTTCAATAACATAATAAATGCAAATAGCAAGTTCATCAGGAAGGCTTGGATTTCCAGTTTGCATTTGCAATCAGGGCGGATCTCGTATTTCTATTCTCCGGGTGTTATCCTTTTTGTGTGTACAAAAAATAATTAACTTCTTATCCGCTTCCTTCTATCGCCGCAAATCCGGTCCTTCCTGAAGGAGTCGCCTCTTGCTTTCATGCCACCATCCAAGCAGCCCAGTATACTGTATTTGCTTTATTAATATTTTGCTAGGATTAAAATGCCATAATTACGTACAACTAAGGACGTGCTAAAACAATTTATCAGACTCTATCAGAAATAATTGGAAGTAAATTATTTTTAATTATATAACTTGACCGTTAATGCATTTCATGTCATAATAAGGCTTCATTTTAAGTGCTTAAAAGGTAATTACATAATTAATACTAAAAATATTAAGGATTTATTTAATTCAGCAAGAAGATCATTAGCGGAAATTGAATCTATATCATACTTAATGATGTATAGTGTATGCAACATTGTCATTTTGATTGCTTAAAACAAATATGCGCCATGTACAAGTACTTTTTGAACTGA